CCGATAGTGAGGGAAATTTGATCGTGATATCACTTTCCCTGTCCACACACACACACACACAAACAAACAAACACATCTGGTCGATAGCACTTGTGACTTCAGCATATCCACAATTGTCATAACCTTTTGATCGATGCATATTCCCACTCGAATGTTCAAATATATATGCATATTCTACTGCTATGTGAGTACATACTCGTTTCCTGATTGTTCCTATCGTTTGGCGGACAAGGCTAACACGAGACTAACATGAGTTCAGCAGTCACAGGATGAAAATCACGGACTATCTATTCTGCAATGATCCCATAGACCGGATTTTAATTATCTGTATTCGCCAATCAGCTGTTCGCGCATACATACACACACACACGTAACTCAAGCGGGAACCCCCTCCCCTCCCAAGTGGAACGATTCCCGCGGTACGAAGACAAAATTCGACGTAAAATGATGAAATGATCGCATGGGTATATTTCTGTTCATGCATGATACCCACTTACTCCACCTATTATCCATTTCAGTGAGCTAACTCGTTCCTACTTTGTTTTTCGTCCACACACACACACACACACACACACACACACACACAGACAAAGAACGGTGTTATGCGGATGGATTGCAGCAATCTACTGGAAGACGGAGGAACCGCAACACACGAGAACAGTGCAATTGTACAGATGGGTGATGGCGGAAATAATTTGGCCGTCGCGTATCGTACTATTGCCTCGTCACCATATTTGATGCTCAGCGGGGCACGTCTTAGCCCCACACTGACAGGTGACTCGTACACAAACGAGGTGGCTCACGGTGAGTTCTTCGGGCATTGACAACGTTCATCTCAGTTCCATTGATGCGATTATTTGATTTAATTGAAAAAATGTGAACAATGATACACACTTAAAAAAAGAGAAAACAATTTGACTTTTTTGCGGTGCGATGCGTTGAGGGTGGGGGGTGAATACCTACTTATAATCACATTCGAAGCGGGTGAGTGTGTTGTTAATGTATGTAAATCATACTTGTATGACTTGGAAACAGCTCCGGTGCGATAAATAGATAAATAGTTCAACCTCGNAACCTCGAACAACTGCCAGAATAGGAGGATATATATAGTGCCGTGGCAATAGGAGGAACATCTTCGTAATAGATAGACCATCCCCAGTGAAAACACGTGCCCGAACGCAAATCATTCCCAGTGATCCGGTTAAAAACCTGCACCGAACGCATATGAATTTGGTGTGTGTGTCTGTGTGTTAGTGGTCCGCCTTTCATTCAGTTTAAGGTCCTGGGTATTCGTAAATCGGATTTCGGTAATGAGTGTATCATGTTGTGAAGCCCTAGGTGAGTTTCAGTTTTTACAACCAATACCCCTGCCCTTGCGTGCGTCTGTTACGGTTGCTGTCTCTAGGCTGCCCATGTGAATAAAAGAGTTGAGTGAAGATTGGAATGTTGAGGGTAGAGTCAAAGAAACGATAGATAATTCCCATAGACTGGGGGTGCAATAATAACAAGTGGATGCACGAGCGCCACGCAACCATATCACTCAACGTCTCTAACCACCGGTTACCGTGATCTCGTGGGGCCTAGAGTAACCTATATGGCCGAGTTTCCTCCGGTTAGGGTTTTCATACCCTCATATCAGGTCTTAGTTTGGCCACCCTTTAGCGTTTTCTATCCTCTGCTTGCCTCGGCAAACTGAACCACTTTATTGCCCGATTCCTGTAATCTACGGATGGACGCGGTTCATGTGGTTGGTTCGTAACCAAATTATTTGTATAGTAAATGAGTCAGGTGATTTTGTAAACAGGGTTCGTGTGTGTGTGTGTACCCTCATCGCCTTGATAGTGGTTAGTGTATGAAGTGCTTTGGAGGGTTCATTTTTATTCACCAGAGTATTCGAAGAGCACGGAGAATTATTCACCTTGTGATCATGTTTCGCCCTATGATGCAGCCAACGTGGACATTTGTCACACTGCACGATCAGCATGTTACTTTAAAAACCTAGCTGAGTACCTGTTCGTTATTTGATGCAAACTCGTTTCGGATTCTGTGTTGCTCGATACCACACACACACACACACACACACACACACACACACACACACACACACATACCGGAGGGAATTAAACAGTGCATCATTGTGGCATGCAACTGCCCCACTGGAGACACAAATCTCTGTGTGTCAATCACAACTATTGTGCATTTGTGCACCTCTTCAACTGCACGCTAAAATCCATTGAGAATCACTAAGAATTTGGTGTGCATTTTATTTCTACTATCGAGATAATATCCTGTTTGTATAACTGTATAACCACACATTTGATGAGTTCATCCTCATCACTGATCTTCTAGGTATTTCAAACCCGTTCCTTGTGTTCTATATCTATCTGAATGTTTTCTATCTCCTGGATAGTGTTGACCTATTCATCCCTCATGGATGGTGCATTTTTTTGCACAGTCATGTCAACTTCCTGGACTGAGTTCATACCCGGGTGTTTGAGGCCGTCTCCCCCAAAAAGCAATTCGGCGCGTTTGTCTCGGACCCGATTGCTAATCGGGCTACTATTGTTGGTGTTTTTCTTTTGTGCTTCATGCTTGCCTTATCTGCCACGTTTTGAGAACAGATCTTTCTCGAACCGCTGCCCAGTCAGCTTTCCATTGTACTCAGTCTAATGGTCGGTTCCGTGATCTTAATGAGATCAGATGTGTCTGCTGGCTGCATCGTATCTATTCAGCCAACTCAGAAGATTCTGTAGCCAACTGGGCAAGTGAAATCGGTCCCATCCGAACAGGTTCAATGATATGATGAGCAACCGGAAACAAGTCAGTGAAACGAGATCAATTGCATGTTTCGACTATTCTACAACATCAAACGTTTGAGTTCCTCCCATAGCTCCTAATTAACCGTATCTTCGAACAAGCCCAAAAAGTCAGTCACTGCAAGCCCCGAAAAAATGTGTGGTTGCTGATTAATTGTGTAACTTTCAATCTCTTTAACTCAAACTGAATCATTGAGGAGCAATAGAAAATAAATAGAACCCACCGACTGTCACGCCTCAACACGTATCATCAATAACCTGAAAGGCTATCTGGTAGACTAATCAGTCTATTCATATTATAGGATTTAAAGGTACATTAATTGGTTGAGTTTGAGAATCACTGAGGTCCACCAGGTGGAACCTCGATCTGAAGGAATAATTCAAATTTCATTCATTCAGGTACACTTACGTAAGTTCCAGTCTCACTAAAGATCATCTTCTTATAGATAAATTACATAAAATCATAAATTTATTCCAGTATATCACCCTCAACGTATGTGGAAGAACAAGATGGCCTTTGACAAGTTTAACATTGGCAGGCTGTATAGAATTTGAAAGATTATTTAACAGTTCAGTAAAACAACAAGAAACAAGTCGTTCAAGGTTTGGGTATATTCACCTATAGTTTAATATATTGTTGTTAGCATTAGTATTAATATTATCATAATAATAGTACTGGAAGAGAGAAGAATAAGCACTCGACCGACAATCTGATGAGGACTGTAAGGCCCTGGTTATAGACGACGGATCAGCGGGAAAAAGGATGGCGTCGTATCCAGTCGTAAATAGGTAACGACAGTCTCCGTCTATATGATATGTTGTACTTGCATGTGCAATGGTGAGAGTTGCCCTAATACTCCAGTGCCGAGAATCTCTATAAATACTAATGGAGCAGGCTGAGATCGCTGCCTGAAAGAGTCCCCCCTCACCCCCCGTCCCGCGCAACCAGTTCCAATTTATGAGCGTTTGTGAGCGAATGAAATAAAACGACTATTCATCACCTGATTTACTGTTGCGTATCATTTCTATTTGAACATAGCACCGATTGACTTCATTCATGAGTACTCGGTATCAATCAAATTGTACAATGTGACCTCGTTAAGTCAATTTAAGCTTTATGCACCCAACAGGATGAATTTTTGAGTGCTTTTGACAAATGACAGTGAGGAAAATGTTAGGTACTGAAAATGAGAAAACAAATGGACGTGACAAAATCCTGATGTGACAGATGATTTTCCAAGTCAGTAATGATATTGGTTCGGTGGACCAAGTGACAAACAAAATAAGGAGTGATGCTGTTTTTATATGTGATGGTGCATGCGCAGAGAATTCGAAATTCGGAACGCGTACTCGGATGAGACACCGATTTGCCGCGATGAGCAGTGTCCTTCATTTGACAGTATATGACCGATAAATCTATCGCATGAATCAAAATGCTTACTCACAATGAAATGAAGTAAAGCGATCTTTGAAATGCCACTGTAACGGGAAAGAAGTTTATGAGATTTGGAAAATAAAATAAAGTCCTTCTCCTTTAAACCAGAAAAAATTACAGAGGAACAGTACAACCAGTGTGGAAGAATGCAGGCGGTCACAAATGTAACAGCTACATTGATAGGGAGAGTGAAGCGGTTACAAATAAACAAACCATGCAATCGGATTTCATCCCGGCCTCTCAGTTCTGCAAATGATTATGATTATGATGTAAGATAACGAGTTCCATTGGTTATATCTAGACTGGGGTTCTTCATATTGTTACAAATTCTCCTTCAGTCAGTTATCAGCCAGAACATGACACCGCTTCCCGTTCATGTCCGTTAAAAATGAAATGAAATTGTATTTTCCTTTCCCTCAATCCTAGCACACTGGGCTACCGTCAGCCCAGGATATATGAGTTTAACTGAAGCGGTTGGTCAAACTCCTTCATTCGGTGTACACTCCTCGTCCAATTCCTGCCCTTCCAATATGCCACCCGGTAGCCTGTATTATCAGTCCGGTCGAACCACCAGTTCCAAATTGGACGAACTGAGCACCCCGAATGGATCCGGCTCGGGGTACGATGATCAACGATTCTATCGTGTGATGCACCACCCGTCGTTACCAGACCGTGACCTGCACGGACCTCGTCCCGGGTGTCCCGAGGTGGACAAAACAGTTTCGAGGAGAAAAAAGTCCAATCGAACACAGTCTGATCAGTTGGATGTGGATCAGACAAACCGTGGCAATCCTATGAGTACATTCAATACACTACAAACAGATTGTCCGAAAAGTTGTGGCGAAACAGTTTCTATGAGTGACAACTCTGGTTCCAAGGTGACAGATGAGTCTAGTGCAAAATCCCCCGGATTAACAGATGCGCAGAAATCGCACGGGGACTCTGTTTCGACAGAGGGTGCTAACGCACCATGGCTATTGTATATGGACAATCGGCAATCACATTCCGCCACCGCTGCGGCAGCAGCCGCCGCCGTTACTGCCGCGCAATCTCGATCACATTTAACTGGAGGTTCTTTTGTGTAATTTGCTCCACTACGAGCAACAACAACAACAACAGCAACAACCGCGTTCCTCTTTACACTGTCGTTCAAATCCCCTCCACAACGTTTCCCTCAGACAGGATCGTAGTCCCCGCTCCGTGTGAAATGCGACCAAAGAAATAACAAAAACTTGTACATTACGTTCTGGACCACGGAGACCATTCCCGAGCATCTGCTTTCATGAAAAACAGTGGAAAAGTCGATCAGCTCGTACTAATCTCCATTGTACTAGATTCGAACAGTGTATAAAATCCAAGCGATGGCCTGCAATCCGCCTCTTTCATTTTGTTCACCCTCACTCTCTCGTCTGTTTGTTTGTTAATTTTCATTATTTATGTGATTTTCTCATTGATACGAACATGTGTGCACCCCCCCCCCCATCTCCTTCGAACCCAACCCAACCCAGCCCCAGCCCGCCTGCGTGCGTGCGTGCGTGCGTGCGTGCGTGCGTGCGTGCACTCGCGAGTGAGTGTCTGCCGAAATCTATGACAGACTGGTTTGATAGTCTCACTGACTTCTCTCGCGTACATCCATGCAAGCTCACGGACAAAATGGATTGGAGATGTGAATAGCGGGATTGAAATGTAAATACACGAGGGTCGGACTCAGGGAGATTGTAAGTGACTACTAAGCGGTATTGCAAAATCGAAAGCCGTTGTACATGCCGAACAGAAGAAAAGGACAATTCATGCACATTTTTATGTATATTTGATATGAAGTAGTATATGAATGATTCGACAAAACTTCCCCGGAGGCAACGCTCGTTTCGCGGTTCTCGCGGCTCTTCAGGTATGTGTATCCGGCAATTATTTACTACTGATTATAAAAACATTGAAAATCGGCTCAGACACCGAGATAGCTGGGGTTAGATGCAGCTACATCGCAACACCTAACACAGAATGATTGCAATGATTCTTCGAGACTTGTTCGCCTCGAATGCACTTCCTGAGCCGCAACTGAGACTTGTATTGCATAATTCACATCGGGAGTTTTGTCCATTCATTGACATATTACTCATTACACATATATACAGATATATGTATATGTACATCATAATGCGTTTGGTTTTTGAGCCATGTTCGGTTTGATCACTAATCCGTGGTTAGTTATTCGGTGCCCCATCTTTTATGATTTACCTTCGCTGAGGACACCTGGAACTATCAAGACGATACGATTTGAAACGTAGAAATATAAAACGTGAATGTTTCAAAGGAAACAGTGGGCCACGGGACAAGGAGTAATCTGGTCTAAAATACTAGATGACCTCTAGTTAGTGAATCAGGAATCATCTGGAGAAACGAGAATTCCCTTCGAACATTCCGAATCGCTGTTGCGCAACCTTCGAAGCGCTATTTGGGGCATGAAAGAGTGCAGAAAATCGGACTGCTACGATAGAGTCAAAAGATCAACCTACTGATGATGACCGGAGCTATCGCATCAATGCTTGAACGGAATAACTGGATGATGTAATCAGACTGGATTGCCCCTACTAGTCCCGACTGCTTCGTACTGATGTCAATGAATGTACGTCCAATAGGCAGAGAATAGACTACTCTATTAGAGACCTGATTATAAAGCCAAGTTGGAATACAAATAAGCACAAAGTTCGGAAATAAGACATTGACTAAACTTGTGAATGACGTGTCAAATAATATACATTTCGTATCAAATTATTGAAAAAGTCATAGAATGTTTGATTTCTATGATTCTAACTGCAGACAAACATATATGTAAATTGATTTACACATTATTATGGGTTAGTATCATCTTAATGGATACGTAACGACCACGTAGCAGCTGTTTCATCCAGCTAATCATCAAGATTCACCCAGAGATATTTGGCGTGTTTGTGGGCGCTGTATTTGAGACAACAGTGAATCTACAGCGCGAGTCAACTGCAAAACCCATAGTGCGCACCTGCGCGAGCGCGCGCGACAGAGAGAGCCGAATCCTCCGATTACGTTTACCATGTGTTTTGTTCCTCCGGCAATCACTGAAAAGGGTGGGTGATTGATTACTTGTTCGATTGTGGATAGGTTTCGACAACCGTTTGATCATGGAATCCGAGTGTTCTGTTCCACAACACCGTAGAATGAGTTCGCGAAATGACAAAAAACCGAATATGTCACAAATTGTGAATATTTCTGGCTTTACACGTCACCCTGAAGGTAGTAGATCGTCTTCTTTTTTATCTATTACACTGATATGATTCGCCAAAAGTTCGAACAAAATGTATACCAACGTCTTAACATCGGAAATTCTCTGCAAAATAAATTATCTTACCAATTGGATCTTCGGGAAACCGATTACATCCGAACATAGATGTAGGAAACCGAAAGTACTCTCCAATCGATTCCTCACTTCATGTCTACCTTCACGTGTCTACCATCGTCCATTTCGCTTGGAATTGTACCAAGTTGTGTGAACAGATGGGTTAACGTTTTCAGATTCGCTGCCTGTGTCGCATGGAGTCATCCAACTACCGGTTCAGTCAAGCGTCCGTAGCTTTTCAACTCAAAGTGTGCTCACCAATCGGGCTGTACTGGAACCCCGCAAATTAGGTGGTACTTCGTCCGTCAGCTGCTACCTATTAGACTGGATCTGTCACCAAGCCCACCGTTTCAGACTGAACTGACTTCTCTATGCTCAAACAAAATTATTTTTGAGTGAGTCACAGTACGACGATGAAGACTTAAATGAGGTAGAGTCAACCTGCCTCTCCCCCACCCAGGAGTGTTATATGCCTGATCGTGGCTCAACTATAGATTTTATATTATTTCAAGTTTGATTTGAAAAGCTATCACTTTAATAGGGTAGGGGTGGCAAAGTGGTCATTAAAATAGCGACCAGGAGATCCTGAGTTCGAACCCCACCACCGACGCTCATCATCCTCATTTATGTATTTCCTCTGACAGCCGCCGCTTTCCTTCCTTCACTGTACATGTATGTGCTCAGTAAAAGAAGAAGGAAGAAGTAAAAATATCTATTTATTTATTAATATTATAATGGAAAGTATCACTTTGTATTGGATTACTATAAGTTTGAATTGCCAGTGAACTTTGTGGTTTGATCGTCTTTCTTTCTGAGCACCCAAAGTGGTCAACTGATCACACGTCTTTTACGCCCACACTTTCTGTGTTGAAATGAAGCAGACCTCAGTGCTGCATCTTGTTGAGCTCGCTGATGACCATCGTTTCGGTGACTCGGTGAATCCGTGCCCTGATTTGCATGAGAGAGCTAAGCTAACCCCAAGACGATACATGCCCAAGTGGTGACGCGCTTTTTCCTGCATAGTACAGCTAACGAGAAGCCGGTGGTAGTTGCGCGGACATTACCGATAGTTCAATCACTGGATGTTATCACAGCAACTACGATCAGGATCGGGTTCGGTGCTTGGTTCGAGCGACGCACTTTTCCGCACGGGTTCATGGGCTTATCGGGATAGCAGAATTTGTTAAGATGTCCGAGTAGGAGTGATCGGGGCGAACTTTGCCGACTGGAATTAAGGGAATGAGTGAGCAAATATGCAGTACATAAGTCAATAAATAAAGAAGCAAATAAGTAATTAGGCAAACTTCTGAGTTAAATAATCACCATAGGCTATCCAGTGATGTTGGCTCCATAATAATTCGTTACTTACTTACGTGTTTAGTCACCTAACTGCTTACTCATTTGCTTTCATCGAATAATTTCCAGATGGTTTTGTTTAAATAGCTGGATTCGGCAACGAACATGACATTTATGCTCTTCCATTTCACGCCCTTTTCAAGGAATAAGCAGATTTAACAGAGGTTCCGTGACAAGTATTATTATAGCATAACTTTCAAGGAAGGAGATTTGTGCGACCATATAACACTAGTAAGTAGCATGATGAACCAGGGAATCGATTGGATCCTAAGGGGATTTGTTTGTTTTCTAGCACACAAATAAATCCAGTAGAACGTACTATTGTTCATTACCATCGAATTATCTCATATTTCTCCCGGAAACTTGCTATGGTTGATTTCCCCATAGGGGTCATTGCATGCCCACTCACTGTGTCTGCTAGTTAAGAGTGACCTAACCTGAGGGCATATGACTTCGGTCCATTCGGTGAGAGAATGTGTCACGTCAAGATGGATAGATCGGTCCTCGTGCTTAGTCGTGAACGCTGTCATGTATTGTTGGATGAGCGGGTTGAACCTAGGCCCTCAATAACCCAGTGAACACATTCCCCAAGTTCGAGGATGCCTCAAAGTTCAGCGCATCTTGTCAACAAAATAAAGTGTAGTTTTGACATTGAAAAACAGCTGACAAGAAAAACACCGAATATCGGTTCCCGAATAAAGAAAGCAAGGATTTCATTTAATCTTCTCAATCGTTAGCGTAAAACAAACAAGCACATTTATAGCTCATTGGATCCTAGGGACAGACAAGTACAGGCAGGCAGGGACTTTTAGAAGTAAAAACAAGAGGTCAACGCCACGGCAACTGAAATTATCGTGGCAACAACTTTTGAACGGGGTGATGTAATCGGATTAACAATGCGTCACTTATTGCCAACAGTATTCGATTGCAGTTACGTATCAACGGTTTGAGTTGTGAGTTTGCAATTGATGACCCCGGACTACGTGTGACCGCCTGATTACTGGATGAAAGAATTAGCAGTTTCTGCTTGAATAGGGAAACTAAATCCGAAATAATCTAGCACCTACGGTAAAGTGGATTCGTTCGCTGTAATTATCGGATTAAGTACTGCACCATATCTGCAACACCAACGGCATCGACATACGATTTTTCAATGCGCTACTCAATTTGGCGGCATGCTTTTTCATTCGTCACTGTTCATCCTTGCGGCACCCGTCCCCAGTCCAGTCTAGTCGAGTCGAGGAATAGCTTTATACACCTCGAGAGGTGGATATTCAGCAACCGCATAACCACAGTGTGTCAACAAAAAGTGGAAAAAAGCAACAATATAATACAGCAATTAAAGGACGTGAAAAG